GGGATGTTGGCGGTGCTGTGCGCCCCAGGTACGAACTCCGCCCCCGCTGCCCCCGCGCTCGCAGACCCGCTTGGAACTCCAGCTCCTGCAGGAGTGCTCGGCGCCAGCCCGCCGAACACCTCTCCCCCAGCTCCCCCCCCCCAGGTCAGCCTCGTTCTCGAGATCATAGGCGATGCTATTGATGGCCGCGGTGTCGTTGCTGCACAGAATGCCCAAGTACGTCTGCGCTCTACCTTGGGAGCTTCCGACCAGGGCATCCGCGACGTTGCGCGGGCGCTCGATTTTCGTGCTCTGGAGGACCAGCCGGTCAACACACACTGACTGCGTTCGCTGTGCCTGAGCGGACAACGTGCTCGCACGCCAGTGCCGCGGCATCTCGCCCTGCGGACATGTCGGCGGCAAACCCGTCCGCAGGGGCCCCCGCTGCAACTGATTCATCACATGCCCCTGCGCCCCCTGCGCAGGGGTCGGTGGAAGGGGGGGCACCCTGTCGAAGTAGCTGTGGCGGTCTCCTCGACCTGGTTCTTGAAGGCAGACGTCGGGCACAACGGGTACACGGCGACGGGCACGGACCCATAGTTCCCATCTGAATCGGACGCCCGAAGCCCGATAGCTGCACAGCCAGGGGGGCGCTGCGGGGAGCCGCGCGCTCCAATCCTGGATGTCCATCTCTGGGAGTAGCATGCTTGTAAACGGGTTCTTTCCCAGGTGGAGGGTGCCAGCATCTTCTAGGTCCTTCCTCCAGAGGACGCCCCCTTGCCAGGTGGTGTGCTCCTCCATCATCAGATCGCGCAGGCTCTTGCGACTCAGCAAGGGGCCCGACCCGATCCAACACCCCTGACAGGAACGCCGTGTCCAGCTGGATGGCCTCACTGGGATCCAAGGAAGTCTTGATAACGAGTGTGTAGGCCTCAGGGCACAGGACGCTGATCTTGCCATCGCCCACTGGCCCAAACGCTCGATCCATCACATTGCCGGCCTCCTGGGCGGAGGAGAGGATGTTGATGAGGGGCCCGATCGCCCTCTTCCTTGCCTCGGTTGAGAGGCAAGAAGGCTGAAACCGTGCGACGATGGAAGCCAGCCCCAAGTCCGACCACTCGGTAGGGCACTCCATGATCACGACGAGCTGCCTGCTCGAGGCAAGCATGGCGGCACGGCAGAGTTTTGCCACTGCGAGCGCCACGTAGACCATCGGATCAGGGCCCGGAAACCGCATCTTCTCGAGCTCCGCCTCGATCTCGGCCTTCCTCACGAGAGACTCCAACAGCATGATCCCGACCTCCGACAGGTACGTCTGCTCCTCAGTGTGGGGTGTCGCCGGCCAGTTGCCGATCGTGCGGGTCGCAATGAATGTGCTGATTGCGATCCCGAGCTCCTGCGTGACCGCGTGGACGGCGGAGGCCCCCGGACAAGGCTGGGGCCCGAAGAGCCCGGCCCCCTCCGTAGAGGTGGGGGTAAGAGGGAGGAGAGCCCACCCGCCTGGGTTTGCCAGCTGGGCGGCCGCCCCAAGACCCTTGAGGCTGTTGGAGAGCAACGCCAGGTTACCCACTAGCGTCTGGTAGTCCATGGCCTCAACGTCGCGCTTGCAGAGGTTGCTGAGGTGGGTGATGGCATCATGGCTGCGACCGGCCACTGCCCCGCTGGTGGGCTGACCCACCTGGCCATCGTCGCCCGAAGACCCAAGGGGCAGCTGGCCAGGAGTTGGGGTGCCTATCTCGAACTCCTGCGGGAAGGCGGCCTTGGATTCATCCGTGACGGCGTGATCCTCTGGCACCGTGGGGAAATCCCCTCTCGCCGTGCGGAGGAAGGCGGTCGTAGCAGACATGTTGACTGAGCCCACGGGCCTTGGTCGTGGACGATGTTCGAGGGTGGCGCCATTGCCCCCTGGTTCCTCTCAACCTCTTGGGGGGGCACCTGGGGGCACACTGGAGGCCCAAATGGGGGCACCTCATCCCCTGTGCTCTCTCCTTGGGGGCCCTCCCCACCCACCTGTGATCGGATCGAATGCCCCGGTCCACCCACGGCATGCGGGTCTTTGGTTTCCGGGAGGGGTCCTGGACCGGTGCCGGCCCTTTTGCCTGGGGCCCCCGCGGTCGAACTTCCTCCGACGGGCTCTGGTTCCTTCAGCATGTCGTCCCCCTCGGGTTGGGAGGTCAGCTGCGGGCTGACGTCCGGTTTCTCCATCGGGGCCTTTGGGGTTGCAGCCTCCAGGCTGGGACTGTCGCCCGGGGTTTCGGGGCGCCCCGCTTGGCTGGCCACCGAATCTGGCGGCGACGGGACGAGCACATTTGGGGCCCCTTGGGGGGGAGGGCCAGCAACCCCACGGGACGCAGCGGATCCGCTGCAGGGATGACGTCATGTCACCTGAGTTCGCTGCAGGGACCCATCTATTTCGTCATCCCTGCAGCGGGTCCGCTGCAGGGATGACGAAATAGGAAGGACGACGACGAGACGCCGACGACGGACGACGACGACGACGACGAGGGAAGAGGAGGAAGGACGACCACGGCGACAACGACGACGGAAACGACCACGACGCCAAAGAGGACGACGACGACGAACACGAGGAAAGACAGAGGACGACGACGGCGACGGCGACAAAGACGACGAGGGAGGAGGGAAGACGGCGACGACGACGACGGCGACGACGCAAGAGCGCGCGCGCACGCTTTTGTTGAAAATCCGTGTTGCGAAACCTTGTTTTGTAATGTGTTTTGGATACTCGATTTCGACACCCTTCCGAAACCATTGGTTTTTGACTGATTTCGGCATGCGCGCGCGACGACGCGCGCGTGCGCACTTCGTCCCGTTTTTTTTACGGAGGATTCTCGCGACGGCCCGCGCGCAACGGCGTTCGAAAGATTTCGACATGCGCGCGCGAAGCCCATTTGGTAGTATTTTTTGAGAATCTGGATAAACTTGTGGTTCCCTTAAGATTTCGCAAGAGCGCGCGCGTAGGCTTTTCTAGAACATCCGTGTTGCGAAAGCCTGTGTTTTTGTATGTTTATTTTGGGAACTCGGTTTCGAAATCCATCCGAAACCAAGATTGTTTGAAGGATTCCGGCATGCGCGCGCAACGACGCGCGCGTGCGCACTTCGTCTCGCTTTTGTGAAAAAGGGGTTCTTGAACATGTACGCTTTGTGATGAACGAATGCGGGCGCATAGAATTTGTTGCACAGGATGGCGGGGGGAACCGATACTGGTTTGGCTGGGACACATGCGTTCAAAAGTAGGATGGACATTGGGTCAGAATCCTAAGTGTTTTACATCGGTTCCCAAGGGGTCTTTAATCCCGGGGGGGAGGGTGGTAGAACGTATTTCTTGTGTTTCGAAAAGAGATTCATTCCACTTGCGGAACTTGAAAGTGTGAACTCAAGTGCTCGCGCAATCATCCCACCCACCCACCCGCAATTTGGTTTGCAAAACCCATGCAGGAACGATTGCGATGAGTGCTGGGTGTTGGCTGGTGCATCTCTGCGGCCGCGCTAGCCCGCGCATGCTCGCGCGCGCAGCGGACAGCTAGTTTGGCGCGACCGACGCGAACGCGGTGGCGCTGACCGTTCCACACATTCCAGCGGGCTTCACTGCGAGTCGACGACTTGGGCGGGCGCGGTATCAAGGCAACGTCAACAACGGTAGACACGATGATGACCGTAGCGATGCTGGCGACGATGCTAACAGCGACGACGGAGCAGCCAGTGACGGCGCCGATGCTGATCACGCCGGCAACGATGGCGGCGTCTTCGCGTCGGCGATGAAAGTTTTGGAGAGGATTCGAAATGCGCTCGCGGCAGACACGCGACAGTGGCTCGCATGATATTATTTGACACGGATCGTGCCGCCCCAGCACGCGCGCAACGGCGTTCGAACGATTTCGACACGCGCGCGCGCGAAACCCGCTTGGTAGCATGTTGTGAACATGTTGGGAACCTATGATCTTTTTAAAACTCGCAAGAGCGCGCGCGCACGCTGTTGTTGAACATCCGCTGCGAAACCATGGTTTTATGATTTCACATGTTGTTTGGACGTTCGATTTTGAAATCTTCCTGGGACCGAAGGTTGTTGAAGAATTTCGGCATGCGCGCGCGACGACGCGGTCGTGTGCACTTCGTGTCATCTCGTGCAAAGGATTCTTGAACATTTTTAATTTGTCATGAACAAGTGCCCGCACATAGAGTTTTTGCAAGCGAACCGAAGGGGGGCCGATACCGGCCTGGCTGGGAAAGTATGAATTCACAGGTCGGATGGACATTGGGTCAGAATCATATGTGCAGGGGGGAAGTGGTAGAACCGATTTCCACTTTAGGAAAGAGAACCATATGTGGTGCGATGCACATGTTGTGCAATATGTGGAGCGCAATATACGTTATCCAAACGATGTACTGTGCAATCGATGTTGTGTAATCTACACGATGCAAAGCGGAACTATGCAATTTGCAATGCGCAGCACTGCAAAGCGGTGCAAGTAACTAGCGCACCACAATGAACAACAAGACCCAAACGCGGGGCGGCGGCGGGGCGGCGACGGCAACTGGATAGCCGCCACAGCGGCACACCAGCCAAGACGACGGGCGGCAACGAGGCGGCGACGGGGCGGCGACGGCGACTACATAGCCGCCAGAACGACACACCAGCCCAATCCCTGAGAACTGAAATAGGAAACCCCAAATACAAGCAGCGTATGGGTAACCAAGCAGCGCAAAGCGATGCAAAGCAATGGAGAGCAACGCAAAGCAAGGCAAGGCAACGCAACGCAATGCAAAGCTACGCGAAGCAATGCAAAGCAACGACGACATAGCAACCAGACCGACAGCCAGGACCGATTCCTTAGAAAAGCAGTTAAGCAATCGACGTGGTATAATCCAAAGGCGACGTGGCGGCGACGGGGCGGCGACGGCGACGACATAGCCGCCAGGGCGGCACGCCAGCCAAATTCGTCAGACCAGAAGCAAGAAACCTTAAGTGCAAGCACTGTGTGGGGAAAATCGCGCACTCGCTCCCGAAGCCACGATCTCTCGCGTAAAAATGCATCCATACAGCCAGCAAGCCAGCAGAGTTGCCAGCCTGCATACCAATCAGCCGATCAAGCAGCCGACCCAATCGACGCACCCACGCAGCAATCGGCAATCAGAGTGGGGGGGGCACAACGGCATAGGGCGAAGCCTTTCATATTGGTCGAAGTAGCTGACGTAGCCTTGAATCGCGACTGGCGTGCCAAGAGCGGGGCGCTCCGGTCGCGCGACGGAGACCCCTACCCAGCGCCCAGAGTGACGATGCAGGGCGGGTGGGCGGTTGGCGCAGCGCGCACTCCAGCTGAGCCAAAATGGCCACGAGTGCAGTGACTCGCGTGCCCAGCCCAGGGCGCCTGACTTGCCCTTCGCATCAAATCTAATGCACACGAAATTATGGTATTAGCGATGGCAGCCGCCGACTAGGGGACGAAGCGGGGGGGCAAGGGCGCGGGGAGATGCGCCGAGCGGACTCACAACGACAGGCTGGCGCAACCATCTCGGCCACCGCCCTCTCTGCCTCCGCTGCCACGGCCGCAACCGCCGTTCTGCCCACCTCAGGGTGAAAGAAAAGGGTCCTATGGGAAACGTATCCTGGACCCCATGACCTTCCCCCAGGACCAGGTCCTCATCCCTGAGTCGTTTTCTCTGACAGTCCTAGGGCCCGCGGAGGGCCCCGAGAGGCCGAAAACAGTGAAAAACCTTAGGACCCGTTTCCGTCCGGACCCCTTTTCTTCATGGCGACCACCGCGCACTGCGCCCCCGCTGCAGGCCTGGTGTTCGCCGAGGGTGCCCACCCCGCTGTCGAAGGCGCTGCAGTCCGAGGCGGCGTCGGGCCCAGGCATGGGTGCGCCCGGCGGCGCGGGAGCAGCCTGGGCTTCGGGGCCGGGGCCGCCTGGCGGCACTGCGGTGCCGCCGGACAGCGAAGAGGCAACGGGCCCTCCCCAGCAACGTCCGTCCTGGATCCACTTCGGCCGGTCAAGCACGAGCTTTGCTACCCGCGAAGGCTGGCCCGCCCCCACGGGCCAATGCTCGCCATCTTGCGGCGTCAAAACCAGCGTCACACGGTTCTGAATAGCGAGGCGGAAGAGGTGGTGGTGCTTGCTGAAGCGGAAGCATGTCTTGTTTACGGAGAGCGGCAGCTGGCTAGACTCATCGGCATTCTCGTCGAACTGGCTGACGCAGTAGCTAATCCAATATCGGAAATCGTCTCGCTGATCCGGCCGGGCACACCGCAGGAGACTCTGCTCCAGCCCGCATATCTGTTCCCAAGGGCAGCCGACGAAGGCCTCGAAGGCGCTGCTGCAGCACAGCATGGTGAGCTCAGGCGACAGGGCGTCGAACCAAACACAAACAGCAACATGAGGTAAAGTTGACTCCTGGGAGGTCTCGCGCTCATAGGTGCAAGTGCTGGACTTTTCCGTTACGGACGAACGGCGACCCTGAACATCACTCTTCAACGCACGCAGAGTTGGCTGAGGCATGGCCGACGCTGTGTCCGCAAACTCCCGAAAGCCGAGGAGGTACTCCTTGTTATCGCAACTGTGGACGCGAACACAAAATACCTCCATCGGTACTGCGATGCCCCTGCTGTCCCGCATGCTCACGTGAAAAGCCTTGCAGAAGCCGTCGCCGTTGGTTCTGGAGGTTACCTCTCGGACCAATTTCTTGCGATCTGCCTCTGAAGGAATGAGCGATGTTAGCTTCTCTCCGGCCAGCATTCGCGACGGATGTAGCATTAGCACTGTTGCCAGCCCCTGCGCAGGCTGCGAAAGCCGCAGCTCAGCATCGAGCTCCGCCACAGCATCGCACACGCCTGCCAAGATCGACTTTGCAGCCCGCAGCTCGCTTCTTGAAGTCTTACCCTCTAGCTGAAAGCGCGCAACCTGGCAGAAACCAGCATTGAACATCACCAAAGCTGCATTTACAAGACACCAGTCTCTGAGAACGTCTGTCACCAGGGTAGGGTTCGAATTCAGACAAGGGTTGTTGCTGAAATCACTAGTGACTACCGTGAGCACAGCGACCATATATTGAATCGCCGTCCACATCATGTTCACTGGGAGGCACATGTCCATAACAATGGATATCATGCAATCAAAAACGATATAAGGTCGAAGATGAACAATCGATTCGGCGGACTGGAACAACGGAGACATCGTCAGCACGGAAACAGTCGCAATCACCGAATACCAAACATGAAGCGACTGTGGTGTCATCAAGCTTGGGAAAACATGGAGAACGACCGAAACCAATACTACGACACACATATACAGGCGCCGCGGAGTTGCGTGATCACGATCGTCATCTATGAAGAATGCCACTGGGAGAAACAGAAGCGACAAAGAGGCAACCAGATGGCAGCAACGCCCCGCGAGGTCAGTCCTCATGCTCAACTCATGCTTGCGAACAGCATCTTGAGAGCAAGTGACGCTGCACGCAATCATGCTGCTCGCTCTCCTGGATAGCGAACGCAGATGAGCAACTAGACCACCAATGCAGGATCGCAAGCCACCCCTGATCCCAAGCTGTCGGATCGGGCGTCCCAGCAACAGGGCTGCGCAGAACACGATGCACGTGATCTGCACCGCATCGATAGTCCGACTACATATCTCCAGGACGGGCATCGCGGAAAGACGTCGCACTGGCTCTGGGAGTCTTGCCGATAACGGAGCTCCCTGGACTTCAAACCCAAGCCGCCGTGGGACGCAAGGCTTGAACCAAGGAGCTTCGGCCCCGGAAAGCGCGCTCCTTCATACGGTGGAACTGGCAGCGGCCAACCGAACCGCCAATGGATTCGGGGCCGAAGGGCAACCCGCAGAGGCGCCAATGCTGGGCCAGAGGCGCGCCCGGAGTCTCCGGTGAAGCGCGCCCGGCTCTCGTGTGCCCGCTTCTCGCGCGCGTGGCGGCCCCGGGCCAGGCAATGTAAGGGAGGCCGCCACCACGGGGGTCGCCAGCTCCCCCCGAGGATCGAGGCTCGAGGACATCAAGGGCCGAGAAGAGCTCGGACGGCTGGAACCTCTCTGGGAGGGGCGTCCTCCTCCAGGAGGTGGCGACTCCCCTGCAAGCGACTTGCCGCAAGTCCAGGTTGAGCCCGCGGCGGGACGCTGGAACCTCTTGGGCGCAGCCTGGGCAGATGCCGAGCGACCGCCACAAACGACAGCGAGGCCTTCAGGACGGCCGCCCAGGCTTTCCAGACCGGCACCAAAGCTGCCACAAGGCGGCTCCAGGTGACCACGGAGCCTTCCGAGGATGCCCCCAGGCTGAAATCAATCAAAACACCTAACGTACATTTCTCAGTGCTTTCGGCAAGGCCTCATGAGGTCTCAGGGCGGCGCCAAGATCGCCGAAGAAAGGTAGCTCCAAGGGGAGCCCAGAAGGGATCAAAGTGGCATCCGATGACCCCCACGACCTCCCCTGAAGCGCCCCAGAAGAACCAGGCCCCGAGATAGCCCCAAGGTGGCTCAAGACTGCCCCCTGGAGACCCCCAAGAAGCAAGGGCTGCTAAATGCGCACGAGGAGTCGGCCCTCCTCCTCCTCCTCCTCCTCCTCCTCCTCGTCCTAATCGCCTGCTCCAGCCATATGGCCATCTGTCCTGGAGGGGAAATGTCAGCGCCGGGGCCTCGTGCATAGTGGGTGCTCGAGGGATGGTTGTCTGCTTGACATCAGCGGGGGCCTAGCAATCAGTGCTCTCACGACGCTCGGCGGTCACCGCCGATTTGCTTTCCATCGACGCTCTGTCTATGGGAGGCTCGGGACCGCCTCCACCCTCCATCCCTCATACGCTTCCTCCGTTGGAGGCCACCGACGCCTGCCGCGGCAGCCCCGACCACGGTGCACCACCACCACCATAAGTTGGAGGGGGGAGGGGGTCCTCCTCCCCCTCTTCTTCTTCTTCTTCCTCCTCCTCATCCTCCACCTCCTTCCCCCCTCCAACTGATGGTGGTGGTGATGGTGGAAAACAGGCCCATCACACGGGGAGATCCTTGCGGGCCGTCGCTGCTAGCACAGCTCTCCCGAGGGGAAGGCCGCCTCCGACGGGCCCCTCCCGCGACCGAGCGCGCGCGTGCAGTCGGCAGCCGCAGGCCCAGACATGCTCGCGCTGCGAGACAGCATCGGCGTTATGTCGACGCTGAACGGGCGCTCCCTCACCGAACTCCCCAACGTTAGCGCACGCCGATGCACTCTAAAAGCGGAGTCGCGAGGACTCCTCAAGGCTCCCACGAGTTGCCGAACTGGGGGGCACCAAGGTCGGCCGGGGGGCACCCCACTCCGCGTCCGAGAGCGGCCGCCTTGGCACACGCCAGCCCTTGGCGGCCAGAGGGCTGTCCCCAGACATGCTCGCGTTGTAAAACTGATCCTGGCGAAGAACCCAACCATATGCAGTTGTGAATACCGCGTTGTGAGTACCGCTTCTGGTGGAGCTCCCTGTGGGGCACATGCGGTCGCCTCCACTGGGGTTTTCGATGGAGCCCTCTCTGCGGCCAAGACGCCGTGTACTGGGTGAGGGAGTCGCATGCGGCCGCGGCCACTCAGGGTTTCGGTGAAATTTCCTATGGGGCCACGAGGCGCTGTACAGGGTGGGGGAAACGCATGCGACCGCGGCCACTGGGGCCTTCGGTGGAGCCCCTTGCGAAGCGGCCACGAAGCGCTGTACTGTGGGGGAGACGCATGCGGCCGCAGCCACTGGAACCGTCGGTGGAGCTCCCTAAACAGCAGGGGAGACGCATGCGAACGTCGCATCTGGGGTTTTTGGTGGAGCCCCATATACGGCCACAGGAACGTTGTACAGGGTGAGGGAGTCGCATGCGGCCGCGGCCACTGGGGGCTTCGGTGGAATTCCCTATGGGGCCACGAGGCGCTGTACAAGGTGGGAGGAACGCATGCGACCGTGGCCACTGGGGCCTTCGGTGGAGCCTCCTGCCAAGCGGCCACGAAGCGCTGTACTGTGGGGGAGACACATGTGGCCGCAGCCACTGGGGCCGTGGGTGGAGATCCCTAGCGAGTAGGGGAGACGCATGCAAACGTCGCATCTGGGGTTTTGGTGGAGCCCTCATATGGGGCCACAGAACGTTGTACTGGGCGGGGGAGACGCATGCGGCCGCGGCCACTGGGGGCTTCGGAGGAACTCCTTGTAGGGTCACGAAGCGCTATACAAAGTAAGGGAAGCGCATTCGAACGTCGCCTCTGGGGCCTGACCACGACACGCGGTACTGGACTGGGGAAAAGCATGCGAACGTCGCCTCTGAGGTTTTCGGTTGAGCTCCCTACGGGGCCACGACACGCTGTAATGGATGGGGGGAGACGCGTGCGAACGTCGCCACTGGGGCCTTCGGTGGAGCTCCCTATCGGGCCACGAAGCGGTGTACAGGGTGGGAGAGGAAACGCATGCGAACGTCGCCTCTGTGGCCTTCGGTGGAGCCCCATATGGAACCACGACACGCTGTGCCAGGCGGGGGATACGTATGCGAAAGTCGCCTCTGGGGTTTGGGTTGAGTTCTCTATGGGACCACGAAGTGCTTTACTCGATGGGGGGACGCATGCGAACGAGGCTTTCGGTCGAGCTCCCTACGGGGTGACGAAACGCCGCAATGGGTGGGGGAGACGCATGCGAACGTCGCCACTAGGGCCGTCGGTGGAGTTCCCTCTGGGGTCACGAAGCGCTACACAGGGCGGGAGAGGAAACGCATGCGAACGTCGCCTCTGGGGCCTTCGGTCGAGCTCCCTACGGGGTGACGAAACGCCGCAATGGGTGGGGGAGACGCATGCGAACGTCGCCACTGGGGCCGTCGGTGGAGCTCCCTATGGGGTCACGACGCGCGAAAGGTGTGCCGAACTGTTTGGCATCTGGGGGGCGGAAACAAGGATGAATGAAGGGAGGAGAGAAGTCAGAAGGAGGGTGAGGAGGAGGGGGAGGAGGAAGAGGAGAAGAGGGAAGCGGGGCGGTGCTTCTTCAAAACGGGAACCCAATACTACAGGACGGGGCAGGGAACAAAATCGCGACGGACGGTTCTTCGTCGCTGTCTTCCTCTAGCCACTCTCGCCGGGCCCTTGCCGAGGACCGTCAGAAACCGACCCGGGATGCAAAACAAGCCTTGTGGAAAAAGTCGGAACTTCCGGGGACCCCGCATTGGGAATTATCTTTGCGAGGGACCCGATCGCGCGCAGCTTTGACTATCGCGAGGCAGGTGAGAAGGAGGAGGGGGCAGCCAAAGGACTGCGGCGCTGATTGTGGAAGAAAATAATTTAGGCTCGTGGGGGAATGCATTGTTTGGCGTGGGCCCCGTGCGCCGTTATCCTTGTTTCCAGTGTCAGGCGTTGCGTTACTGCCCGCCTGCCCCGCGGTGGCCCGAGCCCCAGGGCCCAGCCGATGTGTGTCCAGTTCCTTCTCTCCTACTTTTCCCTTCTTGTCCCTGCGCCCTGGTAGCCGCGGCTCTGAAGAAAAGCATTCGGGAATCTCCGCGACGCGCGCCTGTCGCCCCGAAGGAGACCCAGCGACGCGCGCGAGGTGTCTGCGGCACGGAGCAATTTAGCCTGGCGAGCGACCCAACCATATGCAGCTGTGGACATACAGGCATCGTCTTCGGCGGTGCCCCCGCACAGGGCCACCAAACGTTGCACTGGGCGTGGGAGACGCATGAGGGCTGCGCTACTGGGACCTTCGGTGGGGCTCCTCTCTGTGGCCATGGAGCGCTGCAAGTGGTGGAGACGCATGCGGGCTGCGCCACTGGGACCTTCGGTGGAGCTCCCTATGGGGCCACGAAAACCGTATTCGATGGGGGAATCGCATGCGGGCTACGCCGTCGGTGGAATTCCCGACGTCGCCACGAAATTATGTATGTACCGTGTGGGGCAGACGCAGGCAGGCGGGCTGCGACACTGGGACCTTTGGTGGCGGTGCCTATGGTGCCACGAAGCGGTGTACCGGGTGGGGGAGACGCATGCGGGCTGCGCCACTGGGACCTTCGGTGGAGCTCCCAACGGGGCCAAGACAGCGAGGCGCATGCGGGCTGCGCCACTGGGGCCGTCGGTGGAGTTCCCTACGGGGCCGCGGAACGCTGGACTGGGTCGGGGAAGCGCATGCGGGCTGCGCCACTGGGACCTTCGGGGGAGATCCCATATGGGGCCACAGAACGCTGTACTGGGCGGGGGGAGCACATGCGGGCTGCGCTACTTAGATGTTTAGAAAAACTCCCTCTTGGGCCACGAAGCGATGCACTGGGTGGGGGAGACGCATGCGGGCTGCGCCACTGGGGCCTTCGGTGAAGGTGCCTATGGGGCCACGAAGCGCTGTACTGGGTGGGGGAGACGCATGCGGGCTGCGCCACTGGAACCTTCGGTGGAGCACCCTGTGAAGCCACGAGACGCTGTAATGGGTGGGGGAGACACATGCGGGCTGCGCCACTGGGACCTTCGGTGGAGCTCCCCATGGGGCCACGAAGCGCTCTACTGGGTGGGGGAGACGCATGCGGGCTGCGCCACTGGGACCTTTGGTGGAGGTGCCTATGGGGCCACGAAGCGCTGCACTCACCGGGCTGGGGAGACGCATGCGAGCTGCGCCACTGGGACGTTCGGTGAAGCTCCCATATGGGGCCACGAAGCGCTGCACTGGGTGTAGGAAGCGCACGCGGGCTGCGCCACTGAAGCTTTCGAAATGTTGTACTGGGCGGGGAAACGCATGCGAGCTGCGCCACTGGGACGTTCGGTGAAGCTCCCTATGGGGCCACGAAGCGCTGTACTGGGTGGGGGAAACGCATGCGGGCTGCGCCACTGGAACCTTCGGTGGAGTTCCATTCCATACGTTGCCACGGAACGCTGTACTGTGCGTGGGAGACGCATGCGGGCTGCGCCACTCGGACCTTCAGTGGAACTCCCGATTGGGCCACGAAGCGTTGTACTGGGCGTGGGAGACGCATGAGGGCTGCGCCACTGGGACCTTGCGTGGAGCTCCCTGTGAGGCCACGAAGCGCTGTACTGGGCGTGTCTGCGCCACTGGGACGTTCGGTGAAGCTCCCATATGGGGCCACGAAGCGCTGCACGGGGCGCGAGGGACGCCTGCGGGCTGCGCCACTGGGACATTCGGTGGATTTCCCTGCGTCGCCACGGAACGCTGTACTGGGCGTGGGGAAGAGAAGGCTGCGACATTGAGACCTTCGGTGGAACTTCTTATATGGACACGAAACGCAGTACTGGGTGGGGGAAACGCATGCGGGCTGTGCCACTAGGACCTTCGGTGGAGCTCCCTAGTGGGCCACGAAGCGTGTGAAGGGTGTGGCGACATGGACATGCGTTGAGCGGGGGAGCCGCATGTGACCATGCAGCGCTGTACTGTGTGGGAGACGCATGCGGGCTGCGCCACTGAAGCCTTCGGTGGGGCTCCCAGTGGGGCCGCGAATTGCTGTACTGGGTGTGGGGGACGCATGCGGGTTGCGCCACTGTGCATTCGGTACAGTTCCCTGTGGGGCCACGACACGCTATACTGATCGTGGGAGACGCGTGCGGGCTGCGCCACTGGGACCTTCGGTGGAGTTCCCTGCGTCGCCACGAAACGCTGTACTGGGTGGGGGAAACGCATGCCGGCTGCGCCACTGGGGCCTTTGGTTGAACTCTTTTTTTTCTCCCCAACGAACCCATCACCCGATGCCCGTCCAGAGGCCAGACAATTCCGATTGAGCGTCAAATCCGCTTCCCCTCAAGGGGGCTATAACCGCACCAACACATGACTCGCTCGCGACAGGGCTGTAAATTGGCCGGCTGGGTAAACGTCACCACATCCAGGGAGGAAGGGGGAGAAGGACGAGGACGAGGAGGGAGCAGGGGCGGAGGGGAGGGGGGGGGGGACAAATAGTAACAGAAAGCTGGCGGCACGCGGAGGGGGGACAAATGGTAACAGAAAGCTGGCGGGATCATGCCGATGCTATGCCGACAAGACGCTTCCTCTACAGTGCTTTCTGGCTGCCATCACCCCTTCTACAGTCACACAAGAACAAAACATCTGGGCCAATGCGGATGCATTAAACCGTGGCGCGTGCGCATCCCCATATGACCGAATGGCCCTTCATATAAACGGGCATCACACCACCGCAATCAGGGAGCCACAGTACGGCACAGCACGCAACCACTGGTAGGAACAGTCCCCGCATCCTAGCCTGCTAACAGCTGATATACTCGCAATCGCTAAATCCACGCGCTCGGAAGGCCCGCGAGCACGGATGAGACATAGCAGTGCTATACATATGGGTGCGAAGCACGCGCCAGACACTGGATGAACTCGGGCGGCCTCTGAGAGACCACACCTCGCCGAAGACATTGTGCAAACCTCAGGCGGGCCAAAGAAATCCATGGCGGCCTGCAGAATTGGGCAATGCTGGGCGAGGAAGCGGCCACAGGCCCGCGTGCAACCAGTGAAACCGCGTGAACCTTTTGGTTGAACTCCTTATACGGCCACGGAGCGCTGTACTGGGTGCGGGAAACGCATGCGGACTGCGCCACTGGGACTTAGGTGGAGCTCGCTATGGGGCCTCGACGCGCTGTACTGGGTGTGGGGGGCGCATGCGGGCTGCGCCAATGGGACCTTAGGTGGGGCCCCCTATGAGGCCACGAAAGGCTGTACTGGGCGTGGGGGACGTCTGCGGGGCGCGCCATTGGCACCTTCGGTGGGGCCCCCTTATGGGGTCACGAAACTTTGTGCTGGGTTGGGGAGAGGCAGGGGGAGGGAAATGGGGCGGAGGAAGGAGGAGGAGTGAAACGCGGGGCGCCGTCTCTTCAAAACAAGGACCCAACACCACACGATGGTTCGGAAAAAAAATAAATAACTAACAAAAACAAAACGCTGGGCAGAGCGCGCACCCTGCCGCTGGGGTCTTCGGTGGAACTCCCGATTACAGTGATGCCACGAAACGTGTGATGGGTGCGCCGACATGGGCATGCGGTGGGCGGGGGGCAACATGTGGACGCTCCCACTGGGGACTTGAGTGGGACTCCTCATGGGGCAGCGAAACGTGTGAGGGAGTGTGCCAGAATGGACATGCGGTGTGTGGGGGGAGCCACACTTGTCGAAATGAACATGCGATGAGCGGGGAACCGCATGTGGACACTGCCACTGGAGCCTTCGGTGGAGCTCCCTATGGGGCCACGAATCGTGTTTCGGGTGGCCCGACATTGACATGAGGTGAGCGAGGAGCCACATGTGGACGCTGCCGCTGGGGCCTTCGGTGGAGCTCTCTGTGGGGCAACGAAACGCGTGAGGGGTGGGCCGGAATGGACATTCGGCGGGCGGGGAACCGCATGTGGGCCCTGCCATTGGGGCCCTCGGTGGAGCTCCCGCTGGGGCCTCGACGCGTGTGAGGAGTATGCCGACATTGACATGCGGAGAGCAGAGGCAAGCATTGGAGGAGGGAGGAGGAGAGGAGAGGAGAGGAGAGGAGAGGAGAGGAGAGAGAGAGGAGAGGAGAGGAGAGGAGAGGAGAGGAGAGGAGAGGAGAGGAGAGAGAGGAGGAGAGGAAAGGAGAGGAAAGGAGAGGAGAGGAGAGGGGAGGGGACGGGAGGAGACGAGAGGAGAGGACAGGGGGGGAGAGGAGGGGAGAGGAGAGGAGAGGAGAGGAGAGGAGGAGAGGAGAAGAGAGGAGAGGAGAAGCGGGGCGCTGTCATTTCAAAGCGAAAACCAAACACTCCAGGACGATTAGAAAAATTGGCCCGGCGAAAGATCCAACCACACGCAGTTGCGAGTGCCGCGGTCGTGAATATCATCATCGGTGAAGTTCTAGTATGTGGGAACGAAACACGCGAGGGGTGTGCCAAAGAGGTGGTGCGGCGGCTCGCGGGCGCTGCCACTGGGGCCTTCGGTGGGGTTTCCTATAGGTCCTTCGGCGCGGCTTCCTCCGTCCGTTATCTATTCGAGGGGGGGGGGGGACACAAAGAAAGCTAGACCATCCAAAATGGTCCTTCCCTCCATGTTCCTCTTTGCGCGCGCGCTCCGAAGTCCAGGGCTGCGGGCGCAGCGCAACGCGGAACCCCCGCGACGCGCGCCGGTCGCCCCGAAGGGATCCCATCGACGCGCGTGGGTCCTCCGCTGCGCGGAGCAAACAGACAGCTAGTTGGCTGGCCGATAGCGGGCGAGGCTCCGGCCGCTGGGCAGAGCCACGACGGGCGAGCGAGGCACGGGCAGAGCGCAGCACGGAGTTCCCGCGACGCGCGCTGGTCGCCCCGAGAGGATTCCAGCGACGCGCGCGGGCCGTCCGCGGCGCGAGGCCAAACGGTTGGACAATCGAGAGGAGGCCCTGCTAGGGAGGGCCACCTCCGCAAGTCAGGCCTCACGGATAAATTCGGTGAAACCCGGCTCCCTGGCGACGGCCGTCGCCTCCCTCCTGCACCGCTTCGCGCGCGCCGCAAACTGCTCCAGCTGCTTCCGCAAACCTTCTGGCGGCCTGGGGCCTGGGGGCACAACTCCCTACGGGACCGCTGCCACTGAGGCCTTCGGTGGAGCTCCCTGTGGGGCCACGAAACGTGTGATGTGTGTGTGTGTGTGCCGAGATGGGCATGCAGAGGGGGGGGAGGGCACATGTGGACGCTGTCACTGGGGCCTTCGGTGGTGTGGGCCACGAACAATGTAAAGGGTCTACCGAAAGTGGCATGCGTTAAGCGGGGAGGGCGCATGTGGACGCTGCCACTGGGGCCTTCATTGGAGCTCCCTGTGGGGCCGCGAACCGTGTGAGCGGTGGGCCGGAATTGGCATGCGGTGGGGGGCAGGGGCGCATGTGGACGCTGCCGCTGGGGACTTCGGTGAAGCTCCCTATGGTGCCGCGAACCGTGTGAGGGGTGTGCCGACATGGACGTGCGGTGGGCGGGGAGGACGCATGTGGACGCGGCCACTGGGGCCTTCATTGGAGCTCCTTTTGGGGCCACGAACCGTGTGAAGGGTGTGCCGACATGGACGTGCGGTGGGCGTGGAGGGCGCATGCGGACGCGGGCGGCCACTGAGGCCTTCGGTGGAGCTCCCGATGGGGCCACGAAACGTGTGACGGGTGTGCCGACATGGGCATGCGGTGAGCGGGGAGGGCGCATGCGGACGCGGCCACTGGGGCCTTCGGTGGAGATCCCTGTGGGGCCACGAAACGTGTGATGGGTGTTCCGAAATGGGCATGCGGTGGGCGGGGCGGACGCGGCCACTGGGGCCTTTGTTGCAGCTCCCGATGGGGCCACGAAACGTGTGAAGGGGTGTGCCGAAATGGGCATGCGGAGGGCAAAGGCAAGCAGGGGGAGGAGGGAGGAGGAGGAGGAGGACGAGGAGGAGGAGGACGAGGAGGAGAGAGGAGGAAGGAGGAGGAACGCGTGGCGCTGTCTCTTCAAAACGAGGAATTACACCGGATGGTTGGGAATCAAAACGTCGGATGTCTGAGGACGGAGGATGGAATGGGACCGACCTCTGGGCCACCGCGGGGGTGGCCTCGATCGGGATGCGGGGATAATGTGGACCTGGCTGCCGCAGCATGCGAGACGGTCGGGATCGCATTTGACTAACCTGCCAAGCGGGGAACAACGCGTAGCCTGTCGCGTTCGTCTGGCGTTAGCAACTTTGTCATGGCTCTGCCATGGCCGCCTGTCACTTTCGTCTCCCGTTAATTACCCTGTCATGGCCTTTTGATTTGTCATGATTGCGTATTTTCTGGACCCTCGGAATCCCTTGGGCCTGACGGCCGCGGCATGCGAGGTGGTCGGGGTCGCTTCGTCTTAAAATCGATCAAACTCACCCTGACTGGTGGAGAACGGAGGGTGGCCTGCCGCTGTCTCCTGGCGCTGGAAGCTGCGATATGGCTCTATCGTGGCCTGCCGCTGTCGCTTGTCATGGCCCTGCCATGGGACGTCATCTTCGTCTTCCATGGCTGTCATGTTCTGGCGCACGCAGGGGGAGTGGGGGATCAGGGACCGTCAGGATCCTTTGGGCATGGCGGCCGCGGCACGCGGAGTGGTCGGGGTCGCCTTCGTCCTAGAACCTATTACCCCCAGCCTGGCAGGGCCAGCTGGGAAGTCCAAGGAAGTTGCCTCCTGGGGCCCCCATTGGGGGTCCTCTCTGACTCCTCTCCCTTGGAACGCCGAGGGCACTGCTTGAGCCGTCGTGACGCGATCCTGGGCCGTCTTGCACCCTCTCAGGAGATCGTGCTGGGGGCACTTGAAGAGCCCCCCGCGGCCGAAGGAGAGCCCGGAGGAGCCTCCGGGGAGGCTCCAGGAGGGGCGGCGCAGGGTAGGGGACCCCGGGTGCCCATGGTGGTCTGCGGCTCCGGTGCCCCCGGAACGCCTGCTTTCCAGTGAATGAGAGATGGGAGCCCAATTTCGGCACGCCCGTAGCTCGTTTCGCGCCCCGTGGGCTCCCAGAAGCCATCAGCTATCCCTCATCAAGACATGCTTGTATTGTGTGCCCGCCTTGGAGGCGTGCGTCCAGCCCGAACAAGTAATAGAACCATCTCGTAGAATATCGTTTCCTGAGCGGTATGGCCAGAAAGCGCCCGCCACGGCGCGTATGCTACAAGATCTCTCGGGTGCGCGTCGCCCCTCACATATGGTATTCGTATGTCGATGTGACGACGATCATCAGAGTTGAAGAGGAGTGCGAATTTGGCGAGGCGTGTGAATTAGGCACACCCATGTCGCACCTCGTGCTTCATGGGCCCTTTTCAGGACCTCAGCTGGCCACTCAACACGGCTGAAGGCGTCCTCGACTCAGCACAGCCCTCACGCTTCGTGACTCATGTGCCCCCAGAGGCACTCAGCTAGGATCAGGCAGCTCGAGCCTTCATTCCGCACACCCCTCACAAACTTCGCGCCCCATGGCCATGGACCCTAAAGGTACTCAGATGGCCCCTAAGAACGCGAGATCTACCGAGGGAAGCCAAGATGGCCACATGTAAAAACACAGCTCCGTGCTGGCTCAATTCAGGACACAACTAACGCACTTCGCGGACCATGGACCTCCGGAGACTCCAGACACGCTGAGCTAGGCCCGCAGACTACTCAAGGGAGCCTAAATTCGGCACACCATTCACACATTTCGTCCCTGATGGACCCCCAGACATGCTCAGTTAGTCCCTCAAGACGGTTCAACGGAGCTTCATTTCGGCGCAGCCCTCACGCACTTCGTGCTCAGTGAACTCCAAGAGGCGCTCAGCTGACCCCTCAAGACGGCTCAAGGAAGCCTCGATTCGGGGCACCACTAACACACTTCGTGACCATGGTCTCCCTGAAAACCTCTCAGCTGGCGTTTAAATCGGGGAGGCTTCAATTTGGTACACCCATCACGCACTTCGTGCCCAAAGGGCCCCCCAAACGGCCCAATATCCCAAGGAAGGCCAAGATGGCCCGAACTGATGTTGCAAAGATCGGTACCGACTCTAGTCGAATCCATCCCCCCGCACACTCATTGATATCAGAATCTGCGTGCT